CCCAGACCTCAAGAAATTCTTTGGCTCCAACAAAAACAAGGGCCACAAAGATCCAGAAGACAACCCAAAGAATGAGAAGAAATATAACTGGTAGCTGACAAGCCAGGTGTCCTCTACCACCACAAAGCAGGAACTGTTCAAGAAGCTTTTGGCTTTCAAAGCAGAGCTTTACAAAGAGCAAAGCTTCTTCCAAGCAGCCATGGTTGATGCTGATGACAAGAAAAGCCAAGACTACAAGCAGGCTGTGGCCATGGTGAAGCTGGCAGGGGATTCCATAAAGCAAGTGGAGCAAGCCCTGACTGCTGGATCCAAAAAGGAAGCAGCCAAGAATGCTTTGGTGGCATCCTTGAAGGCTCTGCAAGCCTGCAAGAAGAACCATCCCAAAAAGAAGGCCAAGAAGGAGTCTGAGGCAGGCTCTGATGAGGATTAAGGCACCAATGTGCTGGGAGAGCGCAATCATTTTGCACTCAGCTGGACAGCTGCCCAGGAATGAAAATAATTGCAAAGGCTGGGCGGCCTTTTTTCTGACAACTTTTTGAATATGTAGCTGGACACAGGCTGGACAGCCTTTCTTGTGGTGATGGGTTGGCAGTTCTGCAGGGTGGGCTGGACAGCCCTGTAGCCTTATGTTGTTGTAGGCAAAAGGTTGCAATTTTCAGGTGGCACAATAGCCTCAAGCTAGGAATATGTCAGAGCCCTAGTCACTCTGAAAGCCCAGGAGAAGCCAAGATGCAGCTTCTGAACAAGAAGATTGCTGAGATGTATGGCAAGTTGGGCATAGAAGCTGCCAAAAGAATCAAGCACCTGACCTTCAATGATGTGGCATCATCTGCAGAGGAGTACCCTGTGCTCACGCATATCAAGGGGAACAAGATTCGACGCTTCGCCCCAGTGGCTTTGGAGCTGAGTAATCTCCATGCAGATGATAGGGCAGGGCAACACAGAGTTGCAGAGAATCTACACACTGCTGGGCAAGAATTGGAAAGAGTGGTCTCCAGAATGTGGTATTGCTTGCCAATGATGCCTTTGAAAAAGGTTTGCATCGATATTCTCTGGTGCAGAAGCACCACAAATTGAATCACCTTTTGGCACAAGCCCATCATATCCATCCAGCCAGCACATGGCGCTATGGCTCAGAGAGCTTTATGGGCATCATAAAGCAGATATCATCTGTACTTGGGGCCCACCAGCTCACAAAGTGACTGGAAAGGCGCTGATGAAATTCAGGCCGGTCTTTCATCTACTCCTCAAGGGGTACAGAAATCTGGACATCATCGACTCTGCAGAAGAGTGAGAAAACATTGCCTTGCTGCATTGCAAGTTGGATTGCCACGGTCTGCAGACTAGGCTGGACAGCCCTGACTTGTTTCCATTCACCTGACCCGTTTGGGTTGTTCACTTTCAGTTGTCTGCCCCGTAACATCGGGGGCTCAAGAATCTGTCGAGGATGAGTTAGGCGCGTTGGCTGATGGGTGATCCACTGGGCATTTACCTTCACCTAGCCAACTCGTTGTCTCAGCTGCTTCTCTGGTCCAGGCCCCCTACCAGCTGTGACTGCAATTGTGGGGCGACAATTGGGATCGAATCTTGTTCTCAGTTGGTGAAAGACGTAGTTTCTCACTGTGTTGAAACCTCCTTGGTCAGTTCATTCACCACTACTACCACTGGTAGCTCACGTGACCCCTGGGATTTCTCTTGGTTGTGGTTGCTGCTTGTGGTCTTTGTGGTTGGGATCGGCATTGGGAAGTTTCTGCCAGCCCTGCGTCGTGTGCCAACTTCCCCAGAGGCAGTGACTCGTGCGATCACTGAGAGCGAGAGCTCACCTGCCCGAGCTGAGTTAGGTGCCAGGCTGAGGCGTGGAGTGGCTGCCTGAGTATGGCTGCCGCCAGAACCTTAGATATTCCAGAATTGCAGATGCTAGTCGAGTTCGCGGGTGACCCCAACGGCCTAGACTTCCACCACCGGATCCTTTGGTATCGGGTCGACCGCTCTACCTGGATCATTTCAACCCCGGATTACGATGTGTATGAGGAAGACTTCGATGGAGTGACGGTGGTCCCTCTTAGCAGAAACTCTGAATACCCCGGAGCATATGTTGGACAAATGTACATCCCTAGGAATCAGGAGCTGATGCGATCCTATCTGGAGATGAAGCGGCAGGCTGACTCTCTGGCGGTTGTGAGAGGGTGCTCTGATCGTCCTGGTGTTGCTTCCGGTGGAGATGCTGCAGAGACAGGCCATTGGCGGATAGCAGATGTGGACTCCAAGCGTTTTGGGGACATCATCCCGGCATCAGACCTCGCTGACGTCACCAAGAATGCGATCTTAGAGCGCAATGGGGCCAGAAAGCGGCTTCACTGTGTTGATGGGTCTATCTTCACCCTTGAGTATGTTTTGGACTTTGACAATTGGTCCAACGCCAAGAGGCCTGGTTTGCCTGGAGGTGATGCAGGAGACCTTCGTTTACTTGGGTGCACCAGGCTGGCTTCAGGGAAGCGACAACTTTCCTTGAGCCAGGCGCTTGAGAGCATGTCGGACTCGAAGTTCACAGACTGGCCCCACCGCGGGCCCAAGGCGGTGAAGGATTTTTTGGAGAGCATCCTTCAGAATGGTGGGGACATCATGACGTACCACAGCTCGTTCATGCGAAAGTCAGGTCTCTCTGAAAACAGTGCAGCAGCTCACGAGTACAAGAACCTCCTCACAGTGCTCCGGCTTGGAATCAGCTATGATCAGGTAGACCCCACCAACTTGGCGTCGATGGAGCAGGTAGTTCGTCGAACCCTGGAGATCCAGACTGCGGTTCGGCGCAACCCCAAGCATCCAACCTTTGATGCCTTTGACTACAATGTTCGCGGAAACGTTGATGAGGTTGGTGGCGCCAGAGCATCTCAGTATGGAGAATGGATTGCTGAACAACAGAAGGCCGAAGCAAAAGCTCTGAAGAGCACTCGAGAGTGGAGGGAAGAGCAAGCTGCAGACCGAAGGAGGGCCAATCGTGGTGCCGACAAGGATGATTCAGATGAGGATGATTCAGTTGGTGGTGTCAAGAAGAAGAAGAAGAAAAAGGGCAAGGGCGCCAATGGTGGCGCCCCAGCGACATGACTGCCGCCAGCTGCCGCCGTACTGGGGGCGGCAATACAAGTACCCGTGCTTGCATGTTTTCGAATTCAACTACAGGTGGCGCCAACGCCGATGTCTTCCCGCTCCCGGTCCCTTTGTGGTTATCTAGGCGGGTTCGTGGCTCCACCTTCCTCACTGGTGATGCGGGTTCTTCCAAGGAGTTTGGCAAGCGTCAGACTGGTCGTATAGCGGAAACGGTCCGTGCTTTGAACACACTGGGGAGAACTTCGGCAGTTGATATCAGGCGAGGCAGTTTTCTTCTTGATGGGCATCAACCTAGTCGCAGGCCGACCCGTCTCCAGAGTGCCGTTCTCCAGAGACTGTCATCCAGAGTGGTGGCTTCCGGCGCCTGCCCAAAAGGTTTGACACCGAAGTCTTGCTTTGAGGATGTGATCAAGTCAAAGGACATGTACTCGCTTTCTCAATGCAATGTCGCACCCTTCAACATCGACTTGCTGAAGGTCACAAAGACTGCAACGGTTCCCAAGCCAGCAACCCAACTGCTGCCTGAGGTGGAAGCCAGATATTTGGAGCAGCCAGATGAGTTCCTGATTCGCTCACCTGCGGAAATAGACAGGTGGTGCCAACTCAATCCCAACTTCCAACCTTACTGGGATGAGACCTTGCGACGTGACAAGGCAGCCAGGTATGACTTGTATCGCAAGTTGGTCGCCAAGTCATTGCTGGGATTTCGCCGGAGGATCAAGGCCAAGGTCGGCCTGTTCTTTGTTTGGAAGTCGGAGCGAAAAGGTATTCGCATGATCGTGGATGCAAGAATGCCAAATGGCTTTCATCGACAGCCGCCCAAAACCAAGCTTGGTGGTGCAGCGGCCCTTGCAGAGCTTGACGCTTACTTTGAGGAGTCTGACATGCCACAACTTACTGAGGGGTATGGTGGGCCAGTGGAACTGCCTTGCTCTCTTTTTGGATGCACTGGTGACGTCAGTGATGCCTTTTACCAGTTCTCAGTTGAGTCTTTAGCTGACTGGTTCGGGCTGGATGACCCAGTGACAGCAGCAGAGTTTGGTGTTTCAGAAGTTTGGGATGATGAACTTGGCCGGCTTGATTCAGTTCACCCCACAGAGAAGCTGTTCCCTGTGTTCCTTGGGATGCCCCAAGGCTGGGCTTGGGCTTTGCACTTTTGCAACACTGCAGTTGAGTATGGCATGTCTCGGGCAATCCCCCCAACTCAGTTTGTGAAAGAGGGTATGCCTCCTCCTGACCTACGACAAGGGCCGGTTGGCAGTGTTTATGTTGACAACATTGGGGCATTTGGAGTGGTGGAGAAGGTCGTCGCGACTTCCTTCGAGAAATCAGTCGAGTCTCTTGAGCGCGCTGGCTTTGTCCTTCATGAGATTGACAAGGCGTCGGTCGAAGTTGTCAATGTTGGCATCGTCCTGCATAGAGACGAACTGAAGATCAGACACACGAGGAAGAGGAGCTGGCGACTGTACTTAGCACTAAAGCATGTGTTGCAATTGCGGTGCATCACTGCTGAAGCGCTGAGGGTGGTCGCAGGGCACATAGTGCACTACTTTTCTTTGTGTAGACCTGGCTTGAGTACCTTGCACCACACCTACAAGTTCATATACAAGTGGCTTGACCAGAGGGCGCACGTGATCCCTGGTTCAGTGAAGCGTGAGCTGCGTAGTGTTGTTGGACTTGTTTTTCAGGTGGAGAAGGATCTGGCGGCCCCGTACGCCGACAAGGTTTACTGTGGTGATTCCAGCTCTTATGGTTTTTGCTTTCAGTGGAGCCCCTCGTCTGCGCAAGAGCAGCGAGACCTTTTTCGGTTTCATGAGCGGTGGCGCTTTGTTGAGGTGGAAGAGGGCATTGGCCTCGGGCTGGGAACTCACCACTCCTGGTCAGCTGAACTGGATGTCCCTGACATTGCGTATGTCAAATGGCTTCGAAAGCGCCTCGGGCTCCCAGCAGCTGACAGTGGAGCGCTTGAACCCGGCCAGCGGGGCACGAGCCGTGAGGGCAGACGCTTTCAGTCGGTTGACCTTGTTGGGCTTGTTCCTAGGCTGCCCGACTCCTTGTTGCAGCCGAGCAGATGGAGAACCGTAGTGCAGCGAAAGTGGAAACACCATGAACCGATTCACATGAAGGAAGGGAGGGTTGCCTTGATGTCTTTGAGACGCGAAGCGCGATCTGTCGCGTCCCACGGCAAGCGACTCCTCACACTCTGCGACAATCTGTCAGCTGTATGCGCGTTTGATAAAGGCAGGGCAAAGGATCTCTCTTTGCTTTCTCTCTGCCGTCGCGCACTAGCCATCCAGATTGCAACGGGCATTCAATGGCACTTGCGATATGTGGAGACTGCTCGAAACCCTTCGGATGAAGGGTCTCGTGTTTTCCCTTCGCAGATGAGTCAGCTCACTAAACAAGAAAGGCCAGCCCATGGCGCCTGCGCCAGTCACCCTCCTTTGCCGATTCGGCAGACTGCGAAACACGGTCGGGGGGGGTGGCCGGCAGTGGAGGCCATTGTTATGAGAGCTGGTGAGGGATCTCAAGTCTCCGCTTCCCAGTTGAGTCGGTTTTCTAAACAAGAAAGGCCAGCCCACGGCGCCAACACCGGTTACCCTCCCTTGCCGAGCTCCTCGTCAACAGCGCGGCTGCTTCGGCAGACTGCGAATCACGGTCGGGGGGGGTGGCTGGCAGTTGGTGCCATCATGAGAGCTGGTGGGCCTGATGGATATGACAGTATGAATGAGGCAACAGCTGTGTGCCCTGCTGACTCGGAGTGGAGGGTCTCCTCCCTCGAGGCTGCAAAGTCTCATGGTTCCCGAGTTGTGCCACAGACCGACGCTTTGAGGCGGTCTGCGAAAACACGTAGCAGTGCTCCAGTGGTTGGCTCTAGTTTTTTAGAGATTTTCAGTGGTTCGTCGCGACTGTCGTCTGCAGTCAGTATGAAGGGTCTAAGAGTTGCAGTTCCATTTGAACTCCAGAACGGGTCGTGCTTTGATCTTACCAAGACCGGTGTTCAGAACTTGGTCATGGACTGGATCAAGTCTGGGCGTGTTTGGTTTCTGCACATTGGGCCTACATGTTTTAGCATTGCAAAGAACAACACCACTGGAAAACGACTACAGAGTGCCATGAAGTGTGTTTATCTGACTGCAAGCCTTATTCGTTTGTGTCATCGGTGCAACGTTTTCTTTTCGCTGGAGCAACCCAAGTCTTCAAACCTTTTTCACCAACCATGTATTCGACGAGCTCTTCAACAGTCGTCTGCTTGGGTGGTAGAATATGACTGTTGCAGGTTTGGATGCAGCTACCGAAAACCAACTGTTCTGGCAACTAACTGCAAGCAGCTACAAAGCTTGTCAAGACGCTGCCACGGTCATCCTCAGCCACACGAGCATTTGAGGGGCAGAGTTAAGCTTGAAGTGTCAGATGGTTGTTTTAAGTGGTTCTGGAAGACTTCTCTAGCTGGAGAGTACCCAGGAGAGCTATGTCATGCATGGGCTGAAGTTCTTAAAGGTTTGGCTCCACTGGCGGCGCATCGGACCTTAAGGGAACCCGAGTTTTTGAGCGGGTGGCTGGATGAAATTCGTCAAGTCACTCGCTCATTCGTCCCGAGCTCAGTCGTCATCAAGCCATGCCCCTTCAAGTCCACTAGCCCGTGGAAAGATGCAGTCGACACGTGGGGCACAGAGCCCACAGGTGACTGCGAAAGCTAGACTCCAGAAGGTCTCGGACACGCTGCCTGGATTCCTGCGTCGAGCTAGGATCCGAAAGGCCTCAACGCGGAAGGCCTATGACGATTCCTGGTCACAGTTTCTCAGTTATTGCGTGTCTGTGAACCTTCTGACTGCTGCCACCAGCAAGTTTATTTCTATGTCTCAGCTGGACCAGTCACTTGAAGCGTTTGGAGAATCCTTGTTTCTGGCAGGCAGTTCGAAGTATCTCCTGACGTGTGCCTTGCAGAACTGCAACATCCAATATCCTCAGTGGCCCACTTCTGCCAGGTCCAACTATCCTCTGACTAAAGCTGCCAAGAAAGGATGGGGGAACTTGGAGCCGGGTGCTTCACGTGACCCTTGTCCCTATGAGGTAGCATGCTGGATTGCATACTACATGGTGACCCAAGGCTTGGTTTTTCATGCTGCTGCAGTTATGCTGAGCTTTGACACCTATGTTCGACTTGGAAAGATTTGTGGGTTGAAACACAGCAACATCATTCCTCCCAGCCGGGGTGTCAACAAACGTTACCAGCAATGGACCCTACTCTTGAATCCTCATGAGATGATGGAGCCCTCCAAAACTGGTCAATTCAACGATAGCTTGATGGTTGGGATGAAAGGTCGTGAATGGGTGGGAACTCTTCTTGGCAAGCTGTATACCAAGCATGCTGGAACGACGGATGGTCCCATTTTCCCATTCTCGCTCAACAACCTTGAAGGGGAATTTCGGAATGCTGTTCGCTCTCTCAAGATCACCAAGCTGAAGTTAAGTCCTCATTGCCTGCGGCATGGAGGAGCCTCCCATGACTACTTTGTTGGTAATTCCACTCTGCCTGACATTCAGCAGCGTGGTTGCTGGGCAACTTTTGATTCAGTGCGACGCTACTCAAAGCATGGCCGTGTTTCTAAACAGCTGTCTCTTTTGAGTCCTTCGCAGCAGCAGGCCGCTAAGCAAGCTTGTGCTGAACTGCCCCACTTGCTCCTGCGACAGTTCTAAGTTGCTTTGCAAGACTCCCAATTTTGGTAGGTTTTTGGGATGCTTTTCCAATCCAGTGGCCACTGACTTTCTTTAGCAAGTT